CACGGAGCCTCCTCCCGCGCCCGCCGTTACCTCGGTCTCGCTCAGGCTGGGGCATTCCGTCGTCGAGCAGTTGTTGGGCTCGCTGCTCCGCCTCCGAATTTGATCGACCACAAAGGCTCTCCAATTAAGGTAAGAATACGCAAGGCGCAGGGCAGCTATGTAGCAAGGAAGACGTGGGAACGTGGGGTGGGGGGGGGAGGGGCCCTTATGTAATAGTGAAAATTTCAATAAATATGTTCACAATTTATTTTATACAGGAAATAAGTTCAAGATTTTCTTTTGCATCAAAACACTAGTCATCGTGTCTAAAATTTTTATATTCAAAACGAGCTCGTGTTTGAAATAACTCGTATAAAAATAAATTTATGTTCAACTCAACTTAAACTTAAATTCGTTAAAATTAGCCCATGTGTTCGTCTAAATTTCGTGCTACACTCAAACTTATATGCTATTATGATCATTCCAACTCATTTAAGCCAAAAATTAAAAGCCTTATTTTAAGAGATTGTTTCATCTTTGTGTCATCATGGGGTGCAAATGAAAATGGAGTTTTGGGTTTCTTTTCTACTTTTAAATAGGATTCCTAATGGAATTTTTTCTCATTTAAGCAATGTGGGACTCAAATTTTGGGTTGTGGGATATGTACATGAAACTCTCGAAGCAATTTATTATACACATACCACGGATGAGAAAAGTCCGAGCTTTCAAAGACAGCTTTTTGGAAGAAAAGGTGTTTAAATACAATTGACCCATGTGTATTATTTTAGAAACATTTACATACATACGTATGTATATATCTCACACCAAAACTTATCTATTTTTTAAAATTACACAACCCAAATAATTTTTATGAAAAATAAACTTTAGCATTTTGTAATACATATAAAAAAATTGATATAAAAATATATAAATAACTACTTTTATTTAATTGTTTCAAGCAAAAAAAAAAATCAAACACGAACGAGTAAACATTTGTTCATGTTCAGTTCGTTTATAAATCAGCTAAAAAAATTGTTAACGAACGAATCAAACACGAGCTATTAACGAGCTGAAGATGAGTTGTTCACGAACAATGGGTTTTTTAAACAGCCCTAACTATCACCTTTTACCAAACACAATCAAAATTAGCTTAAATCTAATCTGAACAAAATTAGAACAGAATTCAAAATAAGTTTAGTCAAGATTGAGATCATATGCGAAAAAAATTTGGCTTATTTTCAATAATTATTCTAAATCATATTATAACCATATGTTCTGATTGTACATAGGTTTATACATGCTTATAACATAATTTAAATGAGATTCATATTAGGTTTGTATATGGCTTGATCGTGTTAACGACTTAAAGAAAGCTCGAGTAACATTTGAATTGGATTAATAAAGTAAGAGAATAATTATGACAATTGCAAACACAATAAAGTATAATACTATAGTTGTAACACATTGCAAATCAGATGGTATTGAATATCTAAATTATAATCTTTAATAAACTCTGATCATCTCCTCTGCCTCAAGTTCGGTTCTTTCTGATTAAAAATATACTTCAATCACTAGTGATCAATAAATACTTTGCATCTAACTTCAAACAGATAGCGCCTCCATATCTTAAGTGCAAAAACAACCGTTGTAAACTCCAAATCATGTGTGGGATATTTCTTTTCATGATTTTTCAATTGTTGTGATGCATATGCAATAACCTTCCATGCTACATAAGTACACGACCCAAACCCCTTAAAGATGCATTGTTGAAAATCTGAAACCCATTAGAACCTGAAGGAATGGCCGAAATTGTAGTAAACATTAAACAATTCCTTAGCTTTTAAAAAGCCTCCTCACAACGATCCGACCATTCAAATTTCATTGCCTTCTAAGTCAAACTTAATAGTTACAGCAATGCATGAGCACCCCTCGACAAATCTCGTGTAATAACTAGCCATACCTATAATACACCTACCATTAGTGACAGTAGTAGGGCTTGGCTAATCTATAATAGCATTGATCTTATTTTGATCCACAAATATATCATCTCCACTAATAATGTATAGAAGAAAAGTCACACTTTCAAGTCAAAATTCATATTTAAGAAAATTATTATAAAGTGTATTCTCTTTTTAAAACACACAGCACAAAATGTAAATGATTTATCTGACTAACTGCATCCCTAAAATACACCAGAATATCATTTATAAAGTCGATCACAAAAGTATACAAAA